CTTTAAATAGATTGCTGAAGCAGGTCCATTTAGGGATACCCAATGCCTCTCAGGTTAAAGCTGTACTGCAACAGACTCCAGGTCTGCTGGAACATACCCAGCATAGGAACGGACCCTGCAGGCTGTACTACATACAAACAAATATGTGGATTTTGGGAAGCATGGTATCAGGAAGAGGTGGCCATGAAAAAAAAGGGGGAAAAAAACCCCAAACCATAAACCAAGGCAAAGCAAAAGAAAGTTCTTTGACTGTGCTCTCAACTATCATATTAGCTCAGATGAGAGTTTACATTCACATTATTTACTAACAGGTGGCATTTATTAGAAAATTACAATGCAACAGAGGGCAGAAAACAGGACAGCACTCGTTCCTTTTTGGAAGAGGGCTTTTCTGTCTTTTTTGGTTGTTGTTTTTGTTGCTGTAACTAATTTATATATTTATTTTTACAATGTAAGCCCAGTTAGTGAAAATTATTTTATGCTCCCTTGCTACTATACCAACAAAATGAAATCCAAGTTCCTGCATGATGTGACATGTAAACCATTTGTGCTGAAGTGACTGCCAGAAATGGATGGAAAGTTTTTATCCTGAAGAAACACTCAAATAAAATGCTAGCGTAATCTAAAATTATTCACTGACAGTAACTGCAGGATTTTTTGTGTCTTCTCTTTTTAATCGTCAATTTAGCCGAGTCTAGTATTCAACAACTTAGAGGAACAGCAGAGAAAGTATTCAAGAACTTAGAGTAACAGCAGAGAAAGTGATGTTTTCCCTTCTGATGTTCAGTAATTCTGAAAACAAGTGTTGGGTTTTTTTTAAAAGGAAGACATAAAAGAATTTTGTTTGCATTTCATGGGGAAAAAACCCATCAGTAGTGCTGCCATCTAAGGTAACGCATACACATTTTCAAAGAAAGCATTATGAGCGTGGTGCAAACACTAACATTCTGCCAGTTTCACTCAGATCCTGACGCAGGTCAGGTTTTAAAAGCTGGACAGTCTCAGCTCCACCTGGATGCTGCGATCACAACTGTGTGTGCTTATCTCACTTAGCATTCTTGTGTGCCATGATTCAGCCTAATTTCCTTTCTTTAAGGCAGTTAGAAGTCTATTGATAAATGGCTTATTTCTTTTTCATAATATAAATGCAGATTTTCCAGACAGCCACTTGCTCCTTTGCTCAGAGAAAGTTAGGATTGAGTGCCCATTTTTCTGCACTGGGACAAAATGTGACAGTTCATTAGCTTTTGCTATCAAGCTCTAAAATTACACGGTCACATCAATCCACCTCCTCTGTCCTACGGAGCTTCTCTGTTATCACAAAGCCTATTCAAAATTTCCCCAAGGGCCAAGACCAACACTTGAAAAAGAGTCTGACTTTGTATGAAACCAAAAGCCTGCCCTATTACCCACCATCTGAGACACCCCCCGCCCGACCTCCTTCTTTCTAGCGCTGTTATTTCAGACCTGTATCAGTTCTCAGCCCGACCACAGCTGGAAGTAGTGATCTCCACCCTGCTCCCTAAGCCTGCGTAACATTAGTTTGAATCTTTTATTCATTCACTGACAGAAGTATCCAGAGGTTTCTTTAAATGACAGCGATATGCCTGGATGACTGATCTGCCAGAAAGATTCTTCAGCATTGTGGAAATAACTGGCTATCGGAGAGAGACTGCTTTGAAGTTACCATCTGCAGCACCCAGAGTACTGGACTTGGATCAGTTTTTACTGGATTACTTTTGTGGCAAGCTCTTTTTGTCCCATCTGAAGAGTTTCTTTGTAAGCAATGAATGAGGACGCATCTTGGGAATGATCTGATACTTCTAAAGATGATTCTTGTAGTTTATCTTGCAGTAAGCTTCTCTGCTGAAGGAAACGTTGCAGAGCCCGTATATTGATCACAACGATAGCGCATGCAATGTGCCTTTTATCACTGGGCTGTCTGCACTATCGCTTTTCAATATAACTCCGAAGCAAATCCTTGCAAGCCAGGACTTTTATTACTTGACATATGTGTAGATACATGCTGTCTCTTACAATGCAACATTTTTTTCTGCAAACACTTCAAAACAAAGCTGGTCCTGCTGACGTCAATGAAAGTTCACTCACTGCCTGGCAAAGAACTGCAATTTAGACTATTTTGGGAACAGTAAAGTCAAGAATATCTTTATGTTTAAAAAACAGAAGGGTTTGTTTTTTTTTTTTTAAGTTTTGTTTCCTGTACTGAGTTTTAATGGCGGAAAAAAAAAAAAAAAGAATTTGCACGCCAAAGCAGCTAGCCAAAGGTAAAAGTTACATTCAGAAAAGGAAAACTGATGGCTTGTGTCAGCTAATACATATTTAGTAACAGTTTCTAACCAGCACTCAGTCTGTCGGAGCAATGAAGACTGACATTTAAAACCATACCACATTATCACATTGTAAGCAACACTCCCATATAGGTTTCTACATACTGAGACAAAAGTTGATTTTGAAGGTGTTAAACACTAAGTGTTTTAAAACCAATAAATTTTTAACTTAAAAAAGCCATGGTCATAGCTTTTTTTTTTTTTTTTTTTAATAAGAAAATAATGATATACTAAGTTCTAGGTGTGAAAGCCATTATTCATGCCCATGCTCATATACTTTATTTGTCATTGATCACTGAATAATTCAATTATTTTAATACTCTTTAGCATAGCTGCAATGACAATCGAATGCTTGTGCAAACACAGTACAAACTTGCATGTGGACAATCCCTCAGTCTGAACAACTCTTGCTCACAGCAGCGCTAAGAATACAAGCTAATGGATTTTGAAACCCGATTTCTAGCACCAAAGTATTAGATACCCAAGCATACGTATATCCTTCGCACGGCAATTCTAGCAATGTTCTCTTACTAGCAGGTCTTGGTATGTTTTTCCCTCAGTAGATGCACGCTATTTCTGGGCCTTTTGACCTTCCTTCCTCTGCAGGCTACATGATCACGGACAAACTCCTGCTCAATTCTGTAGATATTTTTTCCTCATTGTACACAAAACTTTTAAAAAACACCCTGCTGGAAGCCTTACAACAGTCTGCAATTTCAGCTCAATGAATTTTATGAATCAATAGAATTACTGACTGATAAGTGGGAAATGAAAAATTACAGTGTCCTAGTTTCCACTGGGATAAAGTTAATTGTCTCTCTAGTAGCTGGTATAGTGCTGTGTTTTGGATTTAGTATGACAATAATGTTGATAACACACTGAAGTTTTCAGCTGTTTCTAGGTAGTTGTAGTGTCTACACTAAGTCAAGGACTTTTCAACTTCCCACACCCTGCCAGGTGCACGAGAAGCTGGGAGAGCACAGCCAGGACAGCTGACCCAGACCCAGACTGGCCAGAGGGACATGCCCTACCATGTAACGTCATGCTCCATGTATGACTGGGGAGGTGATTTCGTGGGTGGTGAGCAATTGCATTTGTGCATCATTTGTTTTAATCATCATCATCATCATCATCATCATCATCATCATCATCATCATCTTCCTTTGTTATCCTATTAAACTGCCTTTATCTCAACCCACCAGTTGTTGGTTTTTTTTTCCATTCTCCTCCCCATCCAAGGGGCAAGGGGTGAGCAAGCGGCTGCGTGGTGCTTACTTACTGGCTAGGGTTAAACCATGACATACAGCAATTCAGGAACAAACTTTCTCTCCTATTCTTCAAAGCTCTGTTTTGAGTTACAACATGATCAATCCTCACTGACCTCAGCAGAGAGATTCTTTCAGCTTTGGATTAGGCTACATCCTACAGGCAGTGAAAAAAACCAACCCCAGAACACAAGTTTACATATGCTTTCAGCGACGAGGATACTTTCCTACGTTTAGCAAGATGATGATATAATTTTCTGTTGCTTTCTGCCTTCATTCTCACTGAAGCCAGAACCCAGGATGTCATAGTTACATCACACCATAAGGGGAAGACTCTTACAGTAACTAATAATAACAACAGATTGCTTTTTATCAATGTGAGCCAGGCTAATTTCTACAATAAGATGTAAAATGCAAAGTGGACTCCTTTCAGTTTCTTTTCTCAGCAGTTCTCTCTTTCCTGTCTCTAGCATAAGTGATACTGCCATGGCAGTTGTGATACTCAGAACAGAAAATGGAAACAAAAAAATTCATGAGCAGGCAACAGAACCAAATGACACCTAACATGCATGCAGCACGGCCACTCTTCCATACACTTCAGAGATACCATGCCAAGCTAACAGCAGCTGATTCTCGGGGCAGGGCCAGCAAGTGTGGAAACGGGGTCAAAAAGCGAGGAGCTGGCAGGGCTTCTACCAGCATTGATGCAGGAGAGAGCCAGACCTTCTGGGAGTGAGCTCATGTCTGAGCCAAGGACAACCAGGAGCTGCTGGGAGAGGGGCAACAGTGGCAGGGGGGCCTAGAGATACTGGAGGTGCTCTTCAACAGCTGGCTTAGGAAATAGCCGTGACTTTGGCTGCCAGGTCCACTGAAGCTGCCTCCAGCACAGCCCCATTTGGCATCATTCAGTAACATATGGGAGGAAGCACTGAACCCATATTCACAGAAATGGAAAATCAGAGGCATGACAGCGTGGCATTTTCACGCGTATTTTTTCAGGCAAGATACCTGGGGATCAGCAAGAGTTTTATCTTAAAATAGGTACTTCAGAAACTTTCGCCCTACCTGCCTGGCTTAATGTGCAAAAGAAGTCAGTATCATAACAGAAGGTAGACTGACGGAGTTTCAGAAAACTGGCACATAGCTATCCTTCAGTAATCAGTCATGATTTAATTTAGAACCAGTAATCAGTAATTGATTACTTGTACAAAGTAACCACAACAACTTCAATCCTGGCTGGAAAGCAATTGTTTTTCAGACACACAAGTAACTTCAATTGCAGAGGTGGTTTTAGAAGCAGCATTATAATATGAGATAAAAAGCCAGGAGCATAGAGTAAAAGCACACAGCTGCATTAGAAGAAAAATAAAAGCCTCCAGAAACTTACCACCGAGGTAAGAGCCATCTGAAAACTGTAGATTCGTGCAAGGCCAAAGTCAGCTAACTTTATCTGCCCGCTGCTAGTTACAAGGATATTTTGGGGTTTCAGGTCCCGATGCACCACACGATGCGAATGCAGAAAATCCAGTCCCCGAAACAGCTGAAGCATCATATCCTAAATATAAAGAAGAAATCAATGTGCAATTATCAAGACAAGGTGGCAAACAAGTAAACTCCCTGTCATAACCTGCAAAACGAATTTAATAAATATTGACTTAAATATGTGCACAGGACATAAAAACAACTATTAATATAAAATGAACAGGATGTTGCTAGAACCAGCTGACTTGAACAGGTGTCCTTATTGAGTGAATGTATTGTTTCTAGTTGAATTATTTGAGGTTGATTGACAGAAGTATAAAGACTGGTCAACACACTTAAATAGCAAAAGCATGTCTGTAAATCTCAGGACAACTTCAAAAGAATGCTGTCCAAGTAAGAAAAAATACATAGCAGCTTTTTGATCTCAACTTGAAATCACACACCACTTTGCATCTCACAAGTTTATGCTTTGTCTTACCCCAGTGAAGTGAAATTTTATCATTCACTTCAACAGGCACAAGGATCTGTTTCAATCAGAAAAGCTGTTTAAATGACAAATTCCCCAGGATTTAATGTTATAGAAGAAGAAAGTTTACTTGGCAAAACCTGTTGTATAGAATTTACTGAATAGGACAGAAACTACCTTTAGATCAAAGTTTAGCACTAAATCAGTGTAATAATCATAAGCAACATTTCTCATTTTGCTTTCTGCTTTGTTATAGTGATGCAATCTTCTATGACATTTCCACAGCTGAAGAAACTATTTCATCTGTACTCATGTTTTCAGATTAATCTTACTAACGTGAAAGGAATGAACCAACAGACTCAAAACTAAATACTAGAAATCCCCTGAATTCCCAATTAGAAGGATACTGTCAACTTGAAAATTCTATTTGCAAAACAGGCAGTTACAAGAAGGTGCTGCAACAAGTAAGAAACAAAAAGGACAGAGAAAAAGTTTATTATTACATGAGTTGATGAAACTCCAGCTCTGTGTTTGCTGGTGACATATGCCCTTTCCATAAGCCATGCAGCAGGGTGTCCGCCAATCCTATTATTAGCAACCAAAATGATCTTGGAGAGGTGGATGGCATGAAACATGAGAAAAGGGAAGAAGGATAAATTGAAGTTGGTTGCTTTTATTCTTCTCTGTGGACTTGGGCATATTTCAAGTAAATATTCAAGGCACACTATTAAAAGGAATGATATCTGAAAAAAGGGTTTAAAAATAGCTCAAAACATTCAACTTGATAATATTGCTTTAGCTGGATGCATTTTTAAGATACACTTTATAGACATTGCCATATAATTTAATACAAAATTACTAATTTCATGTAATGTTCCCTGACCATCTCTACAGAAAATATTATAAAATGTACAGATATTAAGGCTGGAAGCTCTAATCTGACCTCTGATAAAACATGGCCATTTCTATACACAGCCTATAACTCTGTCTGCCAAACAGTAGTAACAGTGGGCTGCTCATAAAGTAATCAGGTTTTTTTTGAAGACCCTGATAATGGAGATATTACCACAGAACTATGGATGCTGTGACAGCATTTAATTATTATCACCTCTGAAGGATGGTGGTAAACTGAGAACCCCATTCCCTGTTAGCTGATGCCTTTTCTTCCCTTTGCTTCCCCTGGAAAAATTGAGATCTGATAATTTTGATAGCTAGTATAATAGGGTTTGCAGCTTTAAAACAAATATACAAAGTGTATCGAATCCTCTTGTACTTATATAATTTCCTTTCACAGTTCAAAAGTATGTGGAAAACCTAGGACTACAGCTCTGCAGGTTTCAGTCATTAGTAGAATTAATACAAGTAATGTCTGCTCACTCTGTGCTGTTATAACTTAAATCAAATCCCAACCGTATTTGGATCAGTCTTGCAGCTGTAATGAACACGCCAAGAACATTTAAGCGTGTGGTTATCTTAAGTATGTACGTAATGGTTTCACTGAATTTGGGCCTAATTTATTTTTACTCCAGGTAGACATAATATCAGATAAAATAAGAAAATAATTTAAAGAACTTAAGGACTAGTCAGTAGACCCTGGCAAGTCCCTTTTTAGTGACATTTCTGCATCCTACTCATTTGTCAAGTATGTAAACTCATTCCTGCAGTTACCAAACATATCAAGAATATTTTTTTCCTACAACTGATGCTGGTTTTGTTTCAACTTTCTTCCTCAAGCTCACCAAATGCAATTCTGCTCTGCTAGTTGCAAGCTGCAAGAAATGTCTTCAGCTTCTAAATTCAGAGTCTTCTTCCAGGCACAGGTAAAAAAAACCCAAACAAACAACTTGAAAATGGAAACCAGTATATCTTTCCCTCCCCCACAGGACTCAAAAGATGAGTAACATTTACCGAAGTTCTCTTCACACACAAAAAATGAGATGTGCCAGAGAAAAGTGTACAAGGAAAGTGTAAATTTAAAAGGTACTAGAAAAAAAGTGCTGCATTTCCTCTTCCAGGAAATTCAGAGTTAGTCCATACAGGCTATTCTCTAGTATTCATTTTGGACTGTTGATTATGCTCTTTTGCTATCCCTTATTACTTACTATTACACATAAGAACACATTTCAGTTCAAAAATTATGTTGGAAGAACAGCCAAAAGATTCATGTGCGTAAAGAAGGGTACTTTGATGTAAAAAGACCATTTACTATTTGTGGTTCATTGTCCTGTTTTTAAATTGTCAGCCAGTTAGAAAAAGAGCCAAAATCAAAATCACATGACATAGCATTATTATGCACTTTAAATACAGAATACCAAATCATGCAGCTCAGAATTTGGTATTTGTTTGCACAAATAGATTTTCAATATCAAAGCAAACAAAAGACAGAGCTTTTAGATTACTTTTTTATCCATAATGAAAGATTAATTTTGTGCTGTACATAAGCCTAGTCAAAAACCATTAAGCCTCACATTTGAAAAATGATCTCATACTCTTAGCCACTTGCAAGAAACATCAGACTCACTCTGGGCTGTGTGTTTTCTTTGGTACTGTAACTAATATTAGGAGATACTAACCTTTGCTAGCAAACTGGATAAAAGCCGTAAACATGCACAAGCCAGATCACTAGCTAATTCAATCAGGATAATTCCACTCATCTAACGGAAATGCATCCATTTTTCTTAGTGATGATTACCCAGTACTATCTCAATGACCAAGATCTAGAATAACCACAAGAGAGTCTTCATGTGCCTCAAGGATTAGGTTGGTCCATGCCTGCTTTTCCCTGAGAAATTTTCTGTGGTAGCTAGGCATACTATACTTTGGAATTACAATTAAAATCATATTTCAAAAGTTAATTGAAAAATGATCAATTCTACTCGACAAATAAGAAGATTCATTCCTTAGCAGATTTGAGGAACGAGCTCTAGTGAGTCATGATCAAACCCCTACCGACGTCTATCAGATGTTCTTTGGACAGTGTATGTTTACAAATATTGACACAGAATAGCGCCTATTGCAGATTAGAGATTTCTGCCATGGTTCTAATACCACAAAATCTATGATGGTTGTTGCCCAAGTTGAAGATACATACATTATTCCACTGTGATTACTTTCAGATAGTCATGGCTTTACAATGTTTTCCCTTTTCAGGCTGCATTTTCAATGCGGTCTATGCACAAATCTAAAATATTTATCCGTAACTCAGTTGAAAACTGAGCTATTTTGGGATGCAACAAAGAAATACGCTTTCCTTAGAGGCAAATATGTAGCTTTAATTTTTTAAAAGCCTCATAATGGAAATAGTTAGGAGCAAAATTTGTTATGGAAATGCTGCATCTCGTGCGTGTTCCACCATATATGGTATCAGTGATGGCAGTGCTCAGCCTGATATTTACTGAATTTATCAGCACTGAATGTCAGGACCAAATTATGATGAACTTTTCAAGCAATACCATATTATGTCACAAGTCCCAATAATACACAGAAATATGTCCTGCATTTTCTGCCTCCGGCATCAGTGAGGATGGGGACAGGCTTGGGTTAGGATGAGCAGCTGCTGTTGCTGCCTCTGCCAAAGGCAGGCTTCACAGCTTACATTTCCCAACTCAGGGGCAGCAGGAGCAGAAAACCGTGCTTTCCTACAGACTTTTGTCTCCTCCTTGTCCTATCCCCTCTTGACTCTATGCTTCACTGACCCCTCTCAACCCTCCTCCAGCTTCTGACCATAAATCCCTTCCAAGCCACTGGTTTTCAAAATTCCACTCTGATCCTTTAAAAGTCCCCCCACCATCTTGACTTCCAGCTCAAAGATGTCAATTGCCTATAGTAACTTCACTTGCTGTTTAAGACCAGCCAGATTCTCTGGAGTACTCTGCCTGCCTAATCCAAAAGAGGATGGCATGGCTGTCAACCAAATAATTCAAGTATGTACTCAAAGAAAACAGAAAATACAGAGTTGTTTTGTGTGTTGGTGCCTCTGTGAAAACGTATTTAAGAAAGGGCAGAAAAGGCTGGAGGGGAAGAGGAGGAGGGAAGAAAAGGAGTGAGAAACAGTACAGGGAACACCAAGGTGGGAGGAAGAGGAGAACAAGGAGATTCTCCATGGCGGAGCAGATATCCACACTGCAGCCCATGGAGGACTCGCGTTGGAGCAGGTGGATATTCCTGAGGGAATCCATGCCCCTGGGCTGCTCGGGGTGGGGAGAGTCAGGAGTGATGTGGAGCCTGGAAAAACGCAGGAGAAGGTATTCTTTGAATGTTTGCCTTTTTTTTCCCCACTACCTGAATTAGCAATTAAGTATCTACCTTAATTGGCATTAAACCAAGTTCATTTTCCCCATGGTGAGTCTATTTTGCCCATGATGGTAATTGATAAGCAGTCTCCCTCTCTTATCTTAGCCCATGAGCTTTCTTGTTCCTTGTTGTTCTTTATTTTCTGTAGCCATCCTGCTGAGGCAGGGGAAATGAGTGAGCGGCTGGGTGGGAGTTTGGCTGTTGGGCTAGGCTAACCCACCACCGCGGTAAAGGTATAGATGCCAGATTTTGTCTTTGTAAAGGAGGACACAGTGTGATGCAACCTGAAGGAAAACACCAAGAATAATATGTCT